GAAGTCCAAGTGTATTTATGAACATCACGGTGTGGAAATTTTGTACTTTTTACAATTAAATCTTTTGACGTAGCGAAGGTTACTGCTCTAACACCGTTATCATTACTAAGTGCATGGAGACTCTCGCTGCCTATTGTGGGTTTGAAGATATCCTCCCTCCCAATTTTTGCATTGAAATCTCCTAGCAGAATTTTCATGTGATACTTGCCAAATGTATGAAATACTGATTCCAATTCTTCATAAAAGCTATCCTTGATATCACCGCTTTTGTCCTCAGTTGGGGCATGAACATTAAGGATAATGATGTCGCACCAACGTCCTTCCAAAATTACGTAAGACAACCGGTCACTAACAAATTCTGCTCTCTTAACTGCTGCCCTAATTCTGCTATGAACAAAAAAACCGTCCCTAACTGATGATTGTCATTCCCCTTTCCATAGAAAAATGTAAAATTGTCCACTGGAATCGTTCCATCCCCCTTCCCATCGCACTTCCTGCACTGCCGCTAAGTCTAACTTATAATTCTTTAATTCCCTACTCACTGATTTCAGTGCCCCAGTCCTATAGAGGCTCCTAATGTTCCAAGTACCAAATCTCATGTCCTTTTTCAATTGCCGTGGTCGTGCCAAAGAGTCCATCCTGATCTGAGGCTTGGTTAATGTGTTTGTAACATAGCTTTTTTTTCCAGGTGAAAGGTTGTTAGCCTTACACCCAACCCCCAACCTGGAGGACCAGGGTATCACTCTTAGTCTAACGCATCTCCTTGGACCTGTCCGGCTTGGGTGACCCTACCATGAGCCGAAGCTCCGGCCGGCATAGCCCTAAGGGTCATTTGAGCACGCAAGCCTCCTCACCCGGCAGATTGCCTTCAACAAGGTGGTGATACCTTCGAGCATTTTCATATCGTCAGTGTTGCCAATTATGCTGCTGATGGTATAGGTGGTTTCTTATGTGAGTAGGCTTTATTTGTCAACACAGACATTGGTATATTATCTACATTTGAATATTCTGAGAAATTGTCTGTATATCTGTTTGAAGCAGAATAGCATTGTACTGTTTCAGACTTGATTATAATGTGTAACGTTACATTTGTTTTGCTGAAGTTGGTTGGCAGTGGTGACTAATAGGGGATTCCCTTTGAAATAACATTGAAAATGTTCCAAGACTTTCATGGGTACAGTGCAAATGTAGCAGTGTATGGAAGGACACTGTTGATTCACTGTACAGTATGACCTGTTCTTTCTATGTTTATATTAATCTACTCCTTTCTTTTACTGATACTTTGTGGGTTTTTTGGTTTATAATGAGTTACATAATTCAAAAGTCAAACTTTAATGATTGTATGATCATCTTAAATGTGAGAGGGATTTCGAAGCTTTACTGAATCTACTACAATGTGGTAGGGTTAATTTGATTCTTACTTAATGACACAGGACCAGAGATAGAGTCCCATCTCCGAAACATCGTTCAATTTTATTATTTTATTAGATGATGGATAATATCCAAGAAACTTTATTCAAATAAGTCACCATCGTCACAAACTTTTAGATTTGAGAAGTTACAATTATAGCTCATAAGATCTACTCTTGAGGGCTTTGACTTTTCCTGGATTGATTATGTTGAAGGGTTTACTGAAATGCACCAACACGAAGTTGTTTTCTGAAGATAATCGTGTGGGTAATGAGTTTTGGATTGTCCTAATTTTTATGACTCAAATATTTTTGGATATTGAGGTTTGTTTTGCCTAAAGTCGGTGGTGTATGTTGAATGTACATGTGAGAAATTTATATTACTAAGTGAAGAACTTAATGATTTATGTAGGTCACTAAATACTGTTATAATGGTGAAGTCTAGGGTAGCATGTGCCTGGAATAGAAGTAACAGACAGAATTTTGATTTGGATGCCTCTCAGATAACATCTATTTGGAACACTTGAGTTTTTATCAGAAAGATAATTTGCAATGGACTCCCAATTGAAAGCAAGAAAATAATTCTGACTCGAGCAGCAGTAAATTTTATGACCATATACCTAACAGTGAAGCATGCTACCTGACGAGTTAAATTCAGTTTGATTGTTGAATGAATAAGTAGTGAGTTTTTAAGTGTGTAGATTGTTAGTTTTGCATTTTAACCCTCAGATTGGCAGAGAAATGCTTTCAAAATATGACAGTAAGAACACTCAGCTCTGACTGCACAATGCTTGAATTGGTGCTCTCACATCCTGAGTAACATAATCTATAACAAATCAGAGCAAGTGATGAAGGATGAACAGTGCTTCCCCACCATTACAATTAGCAATCTGTGTTTAAATTTAACATGAGGAACTATGAAAAGGAACTGGATAAACAGGCTTCAAGAACAGAAGCTAGGCAATGGGGATTTTGAACAGCATTTGTCTTAGGTGTAAACTTGAGTCATTGTGTGAAGATCTGCACGTTTTAATATTCACCAAATACTGTTAGAGTGATCGAATGAAGGATGGGGAGATACATGGGGCATGCAACACGCATAGGAAAGATAAAAAATGCATACTTCCTTTTAATTGGAAATCCTGGAAGGAACAATCCACCCTGGGCACCTAGGCTTATATAGTAAAATAATATTAAAATGATGGGATTTGAGGTTCTCATGGCAGTGAGTCCAAAGATGGCTGTCTTCTGGGCTGAAGCACCATGTAGTCGATAGCAGTTTACCACCATTTCAGATGTCCTTGCTGCCTCCATCATCAAGTTAATGTTTAAAGAAACTATTGTGAGAGTGCCGTCTGCTGCGGAGGTTAGGAATGCACCCCACTCCATTATATCCTGTATGGTATGGTGCTTAACTAAGCACAGTGGCAATTTCACTCTCTTACCATGAATTGACACTGTGTTACAGGATAGCTCTGATGGTTATGGTGATTACCAGTCACATGAGGTTATCCCAGTACCTGTGATTTCTGTGACTCCTGAGCATTGGTACTGCAATTCTCTACCTGTGTTTGTGGGGTTGTGCTGATAATCCCCAGAAAGAGGTATGTTACTACTTCACTTAACATTCTTACCCTGAGGACGGATGAAATGGTTCTCAAAACATTTGTTTTCTCCATTAAACCACCTGACATGACTGGCAGCCCAAGAAGAATTCATTATATGTCATCACTGTAAAAGCTTCAGATCATATACATCAGTCCTAATGCACCTGCTATATAACATTCGATCTGCTGGATTTATTTTCTTGAGACTGGTTTGGACTGTATGTTGTTGTAAGATGCTTGATGTCATAGTTCAGTTTCCTAATTCTGTTCAATGGAGTCTTTGATATGTTAGTAGTGTTTCAGCTGGTTAAGAAATGTCCTGTCTCTTAAGGAACCAAAATGTTTGTTATTACCTTCTAATCAGTCCAAGACTAGGTTTTCCTGGCGCTGTATAACTCATTTCACACCCACACAAAAGTCTATGACAGACATGGAGACTGCATAATTTTACATGCCAGTATCTCTAGGGTGAGTGTGTCATAGTAAAATTTGTTGTGGTAACAGATCTTTGAAAAATATAAATACAAATAACTCTGTTAATATATTTTATATGTAGGATGTAAAACAGACACAGGGCTATAATATTAAATCATTCATCTTCCATTTTAATGCCAGGAATTAATAAAGAATTGGTGAAATTTTGTACTGAGACCTGAGTGTTTTGTGGCAAATCATTTTATATTGGCATATTAAGAGAAAAAATGGAAATATTGCCAAGCTTTCAGTTTGTATCTTCAAAGTTTAACATAATCTGAACTAAAAATAATTAATGTTATACAGGGGAATGAGTCAGTAATATGGATTAATAATTTAAATATAATTCTGATGTGTTTGAAGGATAGTACACATAATTCCACAAGATCTTGTGAATAGGATGCACAAGTATCTAAACAAAAATAAACATTCAAGTGCACAGAACTTGCTAGCTATCTTTCAGTTACTTTGTGACTTAATTATATCCTGGTTTCTTTTCTAGGCACACCACTAATCTGTCATAAACTGCCATATGGACCTGGCATAATCACATTCTGTGTATAAGGGTGTGTGTGTGTGTGTGTGCAGGTGTGTACACGTGATTAAGTGTGTAATTTACACGGATTGTATTCTCATATTAGAAGGCTGGTTTTACATAGTTGCCTTTGTTATTCTTATTACTACAGTTAGTGATCAGTTATTTAGACCATTTTGTATTACCCGAGGAACATCAGATATAGACATATATGTGTGTGTGTGTGACATAGATCAATTTATGACATTATGTATGCTATCTCATACAGAATTCTGGTTGCATATGGTTTCTCAGGGTTCTGTTCTGGGACCATTATTGTTCATTTCCTGAGGATGTCACTAGCAAGGGTGTTCCCTGCAGATGACCAACCTCTGTAAGTGGCAGGCTCTCAAGTCATAATCCTAACCTTTGCAAGGCAGGCCGAACAGGGAGCATATTAGTGGTGAAAGGCTTGCTCTGGGGAGTATGTAAGATTATAGGCTATATGGGTGAGGGACGCTCCTAGTGCAAACCCTTCATCCATTGGGGAATACCAAGTGTTTGTGTAATTCTTAGATGGTGCATGACTGAGATGGACAGAGAAACATGGATCATAGTGTATTGAAGATGTTGATCTAATAACATCTGACTATGATCAGTTAGCTTATAATAATAGTAATAACAACATGAACAATAACCTTCATTTTTAACTGCATGACATTTAATCAAATGTGTGCTTGAAGATGAAAATATTAAATATATTATGAAAAATTATTGTCTTATGGTTATGATTTAATGAGTTTGTATGGCTATAATGTAGCAATCACTAATACCTAATTAATGTATATTAAATTTGTTGTGTTATTGGAAATTACGTGTATTAAATCTACATAGAAATCCACTTGCATTTATATCCCAGAAAACAACATTGAGTGTGTAACATGTTCCACATGTAATACAGGATTTTTTGTCATTTAAAATGCAACTCCATTTGATCTTTGGAGCATTAGAAAACGGCACAGTCATATTCAAAATAAAATCCAGATCATGTCAAATTAGATAAAAGGTTGATGATTGAGTGTGTTGGTGGCATTGGGATCAGTTCCCTGCTAGATTTATCCAAAAACATTTATGGAGTACGCTGTTTGAACAAAACAGAGCACAATACAGTACAAAAACCAGTCTAATAATTTCACTGTATGTAAAAACAATTATAAGAAATATACTGATATTTACAAAACTCCTATTTTTCAGGGTTCACAGTGGATGGTACAACCAATTTGCACTGTTCACCTCTGCACTTAACATGAGGGCGTCACCCGCAGCTGTTGTCTTTATATATGAATCATTGCTACTGGTTTGGTGAGTACGGGTCCTGTTATGAAGTTTGGCCAGTTCCAGTGTATTTATTGCCTCTGATGTAATGCTCTTGATCAGTCCAAAGATCAGTTTGAAAATAACGTACCTTATTAGCTACTGAACATTGAAGTTTTAAAATATGGTACATATGTTGTTGGCTGTTGATATAGTATTATAGCTAGCAACTGTGCCAGGATTAGGTGCTTAGTCACTGGATTCTTAAGGGAAAGCCTGGGCTTTATTGGCCCGGTTAGTGCATTTGGAATTTGTGATCAACAAAGTGGTACAGGGAGAGGTTTGTTCCTCAGGGCCCTTCAGTTTTTCACTGTCATTATCATTCTGCCACTGCTGATAATTAGTTGTGTGTAATCTGGGAGATAGAAAACAGCCCTATAAATGCCTGCAGTTCACGGAGACATAGTCTCAGTCTGTCACAAGAATAACTACAGCTCACCTAATTATTGAAGTAGGAGTGTATAGTGTTCGTTGTGTGGGACTGCATAACAAAAATTGAAGACTGAACAGTTTTCTGTATATATTGTGCTTAGCCATTTTTCTTATTCATCGTCTTCAAAAATGATAGCAACAACAATAACAACTACAAGTTGGCCCTGGCATGTTATGATTCAGGAACAATGTATCTTCTTATTCTTCTAGGACATCCTATACATCTGTGACTGGGTACCTTGTACATTTATAAATTATTGAGGTATCCTGCTTTAGTATATTCACAGATGATGTGTGAGATATTTGTCAAAATGTTCTGCTACTTGATGTTAAAATTTTTAAATTAATATATTTATAGGGTTGGTAAGCCTCACGTCATGATCTTGTCTGTAGTTCGTCTTAGCTACCATTATTTCAACACTCACTACTGTTTATGCCCATAAACCATCTCATGAATATGGCAGAATGAATCTTTAATCTCATGTCATTTACCACATTAGAGTTACACCGCTCATATATTAGCAGAGGACTCAGGACAACCATAGCACTTTTAATTACCAAAACACCTTCATAGAAACATGGCCCTCGGCTTCCAGCACCAGTTACAAATGTAACGGAATCACCAAAAATAAACCCTGTTGCTATGCAGCACATAATAAAATGTCAGACAAAGTACTTTTACTGACCTCATAATTGTCTTCACTCTTGTTGAACAGATTGTCTGGTATATGATTGGACACTGTAGAGGCAACTGGTGGTGGTTGGGGGTGCAGCATCTGGAATTTCTTGGCCAACACATCACCCCATTTGAGTCCCTGTAGTTTTAAGCACGAACATTGGTGTTATGGACCAGAATGTTGTTTGCAGAGTGAAAGTATGACAAGATAGAAGAGAGAATACTTCAATGTAAAAGACCCTTCAATCATGGAGGAAGTAAAGGGAATTGAAACGCAATCTGTTTGGATATAAACTTTGGACTGCTTTTACTGGGAAGGACCTTTGAGGACATCTAATCATGCCTTCAAGGTTCAAAGTAAATTGTTGACAATTGTATGGCATGTACTGAGAGGGACTTTCTGAAATTCTGCTCTGACAGTATATTATGTGTCGTTTTTCTAAACCTTTTACTGTGGTCTAGCCGTCTATGTACTGACAGCGTTAGGCCTATAACATTAGTTTCACATAAGTTATTTTTATTTATTCTGGGAATGTAAATTATACTGAACTTTCTAAACAGTGAAATTGCTGAGAATAGTGTCAGAAGCCAGGAACTGCACTGATGTTGCCTCTGCTGTTGATTTTCTTAGTACATTATGTGGTCAGAGCACAATTCAGAATTGAAATATTTCTATATCCTATTATTATATGATATCAGACATGGGATAAGAACTCATGCCAAGGAATGGATGCTAAATGATGTCCAGTGCGCCATCTTGGCCGCTAACCAAGTCGGGGAATCTGGAATCTTGTCCAACAGTCTCCAGACAAGGTCTACCATGTCCAGTAACAACCATGTCAGAATGTCTGCTTTTTCGTGTAGGATTTTACTGTAAGAGACAGGACCATTATATTTGTGATTTAAAACATAGTTATTAAACATGCTATGAGAATTAGTATTTCTAATGCCTGTGATAGTTCCAATATGTGCTTGATTATGTGTAATTTGCATGGAGAACTCTGACAAAGGTTATACAAGAGATAGGAAAATGATGCATGCCAAAATATGTTACTTAGGTTTTGCAACCTTTTGGTTTTCTGATTCTCGCATTTTATCGATGTCCTGCACAAACTTGCTTTTTTAAAGGTTGTGCTTGCACTTTTGTTAAAATGTGTGCACCTGCTTTACTGGCGTGGAAATAGGCAGGAATGTGTTGGCCACAAAATGATCTGGATGTAACTGTTCAAACGGAAGTGATGTTCATGGAGAACACATGCTGGGTCATTGAATACTTACTCATGCAGCGTTGTAACGTCTTCATCTGCATCGATTTCAAAGGGCCTGTGGCCTGCTAACATCTCATACATGATGATGCCAACACTTCACCAGTCGACTTCCTGCACCAGTTCAGATCACAGGCAACACCTGCAGCCATTTTCACAAGTGTCTCCAGAAATAAGGAAACTGCATTGTTCTGAGCCGACTACATCTGGCTCTGATGTTGTGACAGTGGCACTTTGAAAGGGGTGCGCATGCGTGTGGGGAGGTTTGGCCGGTTGAGGAGAGGGGGACTGATTTGGGCTGAACCCTTCTCGCCAGAACACAGACACTGTGACTGTAGCTACAGATTCGGTCGGCAACGTGGCTGGTCACGCCCTTTGAGGCGACTTTGGTCTGTATTTGTTTTCTCGTTGTAGTTGCCAGTCCAGATTGGTATTGGATTTGTTGTGTTGGTGGACAGGGCAACCACTGTGTTTCGGGGTTATTCTTGGTCCCTTGGGGTCATCAAGGCCGGGGAGACAAATTGAGTATTGCCAAGAGTGAGCCGTGTCGTAGGGCTTTTTGTTGTACTTGTGTGTTTTGTTTGAGAGTTTCTTTGTTTGTGATAGTTTTATCAATGACCCCTGGTAATGTGTATGTATTGCTATTTGTTTTAAGACAGTAAATGGTCTTATTTTCAATTGTACTTTGCAGTATTTTGAGTACACCCTTTTTCAGGGGTGTGGGCCAAGTGAACCTGCGACATATAGAACTGAACACCTCCCCCCTTTCGACTGTGGTTGAAAAGGGGAGAGTGGATCAGTTCATTTCTTGCCTCGGGGTTTATATTACACTTGCCTATGTATGTCTAGTACTCTTTCTTCATTTTTCTGTTTAATATATGTATTGGTTTGATTCCTATCCACATGGAGACTGCTGACATATATTTTTCTGTGAATGTGCAATGAGAAACTTAACACCATTCGATTAAGCATTGTTCACAAGTTTCATCAAAAGTCAAGCTGTTCTCAAAGTATTTCACGTGGACAGGCTTGGTGAAGCTAACAGGAGCATTTTTGTAGGGTTTGGTTGTGAAAGTTTAACCGCAATGCCCCTGCTACATTTGTCCCTTGCTTCTTGAGAAATGCTGCAAGATCTGGTGAGTTATAATAATTATCCTTCCATAATGTGTGCCCTTTATTCAACATATCCTCCATCAGCTTCACAACAATGGATGAAGTTTTGTTGTTTTCCTCGCAATCTATTAAAATTTGTCAGTCTGCCTCACTGTCAGAATATACCACAAATCTCCACAAGTGGCCTGTGCTAGATTCGCAGAGTTTGAATGTTTTTATTCCAAATTAGATGACTTTAGTGGCAGATAGATTCTGAAAGACAGTCTCCCCTTTCATAGAGTTACGCTCTCGTCAATTGCAATATTCTGCCCAGGAATGTAGACTGTTTGGAATTTTTGATTCAGATTATTTAGAATATTGTATATTTTGAATATTTTCTTAGGGCCAGGAAATGTGTCTTGTGTGTCATGTCTACAAAGTGGAGAAATTTAGAGATCAATTCAAAATGATCTTGTGACAGGTTTGACCGAAAATTGGTATGTCCAGAATAGGATTTTTACTGAAGTATTCCCATGAGCATAATGAGACCTAAATACGTATACATTTCGTGCTTGTCAGCAGGTACCCATGAATTTACACGGCTATGCGGCTTCCAAGTTTGCGATCATATTTTCTGATAGGCATATCTATCTGTTTCAGTCACAATAAGAACCAGGTTTTCATCATCAAAAAAACCATAAAGAATGACTCTTAAGGGGGAAGTAGCACTCTTCTTAGACCCAGAAACACCAGGAAATGGGAATTTATTTGGCAGAAATGAACCTTAAACTGTCTGCCAGGCCCAGTTCATGTTGTGAGTTTGTTGTATTTCGCAGGTCGCCAACATTTTCCTTATCATTTTCACCATCACTCTTGCTTTCGCTTTGATTTCCAGTAAAATCAGGTTAACTGTCTTCACTTTCATCAAATTACTCACACCTTCCTCAACAACCCTGAAATTTCACCACCAGAAATAGAACGCCTTTAAGTTTACCTTTGTGTTGCGGTGGAAGATTTTGCACAGCCCATAATCAGAGACTGTAATGTGGCTGCGTTTATCGATCAGAATGTTTTCTGGTTTCAAATCTCGGTGCATTACACCTATCTGAAAGGAACAAATTAACCAGTTACTTGCACAGTATGTTAAGAGACAGGACATGTTGCATTTTTAATGTGGTAGTATGATGCAGTTGCTTTTCTACTACATATCACTTTAACTAAGCTGTCATGTATACTGTTTTTGTTGTTTCCCACAGATAATAAAAATGATGTGATATGTGCAGAGAAGAATCAGGGTACTGATTGGAATAAAAAGATATTACAGCCACACAATCACTTCAGTAGTTTATTGCAAACAAGTGAAGTGAGGTCTGCCTACCTGATGCAGGTATTCCACAGCCAGGACTATCTCGGCTAGGTATAGTCTTGCCACGGTGTCTGTAAGCATGCCGCAGTCATGGAGAAAATCGTTCGGGTCCCCACCAGGATAATAGTATGGAAAAATAATAATGCATTTTTGTTACTCTTGAGGACAATTACTGATATTAGGGGTTAGTGAATACTACTGTGAAATGCTGAAACTAGAAAAATGATAGAATGCACTAGAAAACTAATGGAGAACTGTGTGTCAGCCGATGCTTTTTCTTCTGTGTATTAGAAGGGATGTGAAGGTGGCTGCTTTGTGTATGAAGGTCAAGCTAGTTCTCCGCTCAGACAGTACAATAATACCCCAATTAATACTCAGGATATGTTCCTACAAAGTGGAGCGCTAACTGAAATCACTAAATGGGGTCACTGTAGCATTTGTATATATTTGATGGGTGAAAATACAAATACAATGTTTTAGATGAGGGGTCGGCCTGTGGATCTTCGAGCCTCGGCTTCTTTGTGATGTAAGAGTCAAGAGTTGATAATCTTATCTTGACTTTTCTCTCACAAAATATTTCTTGGTAGCAAGATATCATTTCAAGAACACCTCACATTATCTTAGAGCTTCGCTCGTAACCAGGGTCATGTTCTATAAACTGGTCCATAACTTTCGTGATCACGGTGATGTTGCTGAGGAATTATGTTCTAAGATTTCTCACTGGTGCTTTCTCATCTGGTTCAGATGCTCTAAGTTCATTCTGGTAGTTTTTTAAGGTCTTCATTGCTAAGAGTCTTACCACGAGACTGCAGCAATTCCTCAATACTGTCCTCATTCACACCATCCATTCCCGCTTCATTGGCCAATTCGGCGATGTTTTGCACGACTGATTCTTCTTTCAATTCTTCCAAATGGCTGCATGCTTCTGGCCATAGCTTCATCGCTATCCCATTCATGCAGTTTTGAGCCACTTCATTCCGGCTTCTCTGATATTATCTGTAGCATTCATAATGTTGTAATCTTTCCAAAATTGTTAATCTTCATCTGTTTTCTCTACGAGGTTGTTAAATGTGCGACAGAGGTGGTAGGCCTTAAAATTTGATATTACTCCCTGATCCATTGGTTGTATCAATGAAGTGGTGTTGGGTGGAAGGTAAACCACTTGTATGGGAATGAGGTTTGAAGTGTGACTAATTGGCAACCTAAATGAGTGTTAGCAATGATGTTGAAATGGCAGCAGCTCATGGGAGTTGACAATGAGCACTAAACGGGGCGGCGTTAACCAGGGTATTACTATAAGTCATCAGTCCATCGCCTTCCCCTGGCTTGGCAACTCACACAGTCGCATCATGTGCTTCTCCCTTTGGCTTATTCTGAGTGATATGAGCACTTTCTGCCTGTGTTTGTCGTGCAGGGTTTTACCGTCGAAAGTCAATGAGGGTTTAGAGTTTTCGAATGCCCACTCCACTTCGTTTCTCGTGGGGGCTTTTCTCGCATACGTTGATGCACTCGAGATGGCGTTGGTGTTTCGCCTGAAATCGCCTTCGTTCTCTCCGGATAAGTATGCGGCTAGGTCCTGCTAATCTACCTGGCGTCCAATTCTCTTCTGCACGGTGGTCTGCAGATCTTCTAATGCTAGCTCCTTGATCGCCTTATCTTATCAACCCAACCCCGCAATTAAGCTGATAAGAACAGATTAAGGTTAAGGGAATGTAGCTAATGTTTTAATACAGATTTTGTATATGGTTGAGTAGAGATGGAAATAGAGATTGAGGCGCCGCTAACCTCTCTATAGTACAAGAATGCCGCTGCGTCGTTTAAAGTAGATTTGTCAGTGCAATGCCCGTGCCGCCGGGCAATGGAGTCATCTGCCACATCTGTTCCCGCCATATCAAGCCAGCAAGAGCAGATGCCGCCATTAGACAGCCGCATCTGCTCTTATCAGCCCAACCCCGCAATTAAGCTGATAAGAACAGATTAATTTTATTTAGAAAATGCTTAAAAGAAATACAATAATTGGTAATATCAGACATCAATTAGGTGGTACACATCTCCACCTCCCTCTACACACTCTTGAGGGCTCTCATATTTTCATTCGTACTTTGGTGCAGTCACACGGACATTGCACACGAAGGGGGAGACTTGTAGTCCCTCCTCCCTGTTACAGGAGTACTGAATTGGTTCATGGACATATGTCGAAACACCCAATATGTCACTGACATAGTAAATCTTGGTAAAACACAAAAGGGGGGGGGTTACCGCTCCCCGCCAGAGAAGTGCACATCCACATCGTGTGCACCGTCGGGGTCGACTCGGCCTTCGGCGTATTGTCTGGCCCCTGTTACATGCTTGACGTAGATATCCCACATTAGGCGCCGCATAAGATGGCAGTAGCGGTGCCCAAGGCGCAACTGGCTGATGATCCGCTCGTTCGCCGGATCCCATCCACCCAGCGCCCCAACAAGGAAGGCATCTACGACCACATCGTAGCCCTGCTGACGCAGGTGGCTCGCAATGTGGTCGTATTTGACCTTCTTGCCATTCCGCGCGGCTTCAAATGCGGCGTACCGATTTTCAAACGGCGTAGCCACATCGATTATCGCGGCGGTCTTCTCCGCCTCATTAAGAATAAAGAGGTCGGGCCGAAGACCGTCGTTGAAACCTGGCACGGTCTGGTTCACGCGGACCGTGGTCCCGCTCGAAGGCTTGAGCGCCTTGACAAGCCGACCAAGGACCGCGTTGTGATGGTGGCGAAGTGCGGCTTACAATGGTTCAAGACGTGCGGCAGGGTCTCGTTTTCGTACCCACACCTGCGGCCTGTCTTCACCCCGTTCCCCCAGCGCCGGGACCCGTTCAGGGGCACACAGTCGAGGCGGGCTCGGTGCACGAACCGCCACTCCGCGAAGCGAGTAAAATTCCCGCTCCGCATAAAATGGTTTGGCGGCGTCGAGGCACTCGTCACCGCGTAGACCTTGCCCTGATCAGGTTTGTTGAGCAGGCGCTGCCGGAAATGGCCCCTGATGGCATGTGTCAATGCGGTCTCCGCATCCTTTACTCGCAGGGCAGTGGAGTTGAGCTGCAGCTGCGGGTGCTGGTCGGCGTCGAGTGCCAACCCTACATCCATCTTCGGTCTGATACGCCTGGTGGCGGTCCGAAGGCGCGTCCAGACGTTGGTGATCTCGATGCTTTCGTTGGCGAAATCTTAGTCCAGGCGGCCGTCGCCTGGTTGCACGGCACGGCGTACGCGCCGCCCCACCCCACCACGGCCTGTAATATCACGCCACAGAGCGGCTGCAGCGTGGTTGATCGCAGCAGGCGGAAGCCGTGGACGAGCTGACTTACCTCGGCTAGGAGACTCGTGGGCAGAAGGTTGACTCCTCCCATTTGGTGGCTGAGGTAGAGGGGTTCGGCTCCCGCGCGTTGCGGGAGGTTCAGCCACCTTTTCCCCACGGCTTTGAGTTGTTTGTCGAGGCCCGGGAGCGCCTTCTTCTGGACCACCCCGTTTTTCAGGTGGAAGGAGAGGCAGGGCAGGATGAAGGTGTTGACCGCGTCGAATTTCTGCCACGGGGCGAGGAGTGACGCGTCCACTTTCGCGATGTTGGCCTTCATCTCTGCTATGGCTTCCTCCGCCGATGGGGCAACGTGATATCCTGTCGGGACGCCAAGATGTTGGTACAGGTCGGACTCGGCCAGGACCTCAGGTGTTTCCCCTTGGATGCGGAAGGTGGATGGTACCGCCTTCCGTCGATGTGGAGGGTGGCGCACTTACGGGCGTTGAACCGCAACCCCGCCCAGTCGGCTACCATTCCGGCCACGTCGAGGAGATGTTGCAGGTCGGTGGGAGTCCGGGCGACGAGCGCTAAGTCGTCCGCGTATGCGAGCGAGTGGACAGTTTCGTGGTGCAGCTGGTATCCGAGTTGCAGGTTGGACAGGGTACGGAGGATGGGTTCGAATGCCAGGTTAAAGATGATAGGACTCAGCGGGCATCCTTGCTTTACCCCTGCCCCGATGTCTACCGCCGGTGTGTAGCCGTTACAGCTACGGATGTTCGTAGTGTTACCTGTGTACGACTTGTATCGCTTCGTTGTCCAGGCCAGCCCACTGTTCCTGATGGGTTGATTGCAGAACAGATTAAGTTTAGGTTGTAGCTAATGGTAATACAGATTGTATGTGGTTTACTAGAGAATGGACTAGAGAGAGGAGGACCGCTCAACTCCCTCTAACACAAGGATGCCGCCGCGTTGTTTAAAGTATAATGTGCCAGTGTAATGCCTATGCTGTGCAATGGACAGATACCGCCGTTAGACAACTGCATCCATTCTTATCAACTCAACCCCGCAATTAAGCTGAGTAGAACAGATATTTTATTTATCAAATATTAACTATTTACTTTCAAAATATTAACAAGTAAACAATTAAGTAACATGCATAATGTATCATGCAAGAACAAACTTCATGCAAAAACTCAGCATTTAACACAATTTTCCAATGGAAGTTAGTATCTTTCTTGTCTTGTAGCTTGCAGATACGCCGTGGCCTTGAGCTATTACCCCGGCATTAGCCTTGCGGGACTGAGGAAAACCCCAGCCAGGATACTTGCTCATTGTTGTCGGACTCCTGTAATGTGCTCAACGTATATGTCCCTGGAGTAACGAATCACGTCCGACACATAAAGTTTCTTAAATAAGTACATATATTTACGCGAGCACATCGTCTTCATCACTTTATCGTTCTCGGGGTTCCAGGATCCCAACGAACCGAGAATGATTGCGTCAACGTCTACCTCTTCAAATCGTCCACTCATGGCCCTCGCTAGATCCTTGTACTTCTCTATTTTCCACTGTCTAGCCTCCTTCATAGCTTCTATCCTGTTCTCAAACGGGATTGTGATGTCAATGATCATTGCCTTATTGTCCTTCGCAATGATCAAATCTGGCCTCAGATGTCCCTGTACGGCCTCATTTTCAGTCACAATCGTGAACTTACCCTCAGCTGCTTTCTTGACCCTGCTTACCACTGAGTTATGTTGTCTGGTCATCAAGTCAGAGTATCTCATGCAGTGGTTGATGACGTGTGGCAGGGTCTCTCTTTCGTAACCACATCTTCTGCAGCTTTTATCACTGTTGGGTTCATTGTAACTCCTTCCGTTCAGCGGCAGTAAATTTAGCCGCGCTTGGTGAACAAACCTCAAATCTGCAAATCTGGTGTAGAGGCCCGTTCGGAAGAAGTGAGAGCTCGCTGGGTCGGCCGCAACACATTCCATCGCCTTCCCCTGGCTTGGCAACTCACACAGTCGCTTCATGTGCTTCTCCCTTTGGCTTATTCTGAGTGAGATGAGCACTTTCTGCCTGTGTTTGTCGTGCAGGGTTTTACCGTCGAAAGTCAATGAGGGTTTCGAGTTTTTGAATGCCCACTCCACTTCTTTTCTTGTGGGGGCTTTCCTCGCATTTGTCCATGCACTCGAGATGGCGTTGGTGTTTCGTCTGAAATCGCCCTCATTCTCTCCGGATAAGTATGCGGCTAGGTCCTGTTGATCTACCTGGCATCCAACTCTCTTCTGCACGGTGGTCTGCAGATCTTCTAATGCTAGCTCCTTGATCGCCTTATCTTTAGATGTCAGGAGCTTAAAAGCATTGTCTATCAGGTAGTTGTCAGAATCAGCTGCTGCCTCCGGTGTTCCTGCACTTCCGGTGCATCTTGAAGTACATTCAAGGTCTTCTTTATGCTGGCCCTAAGATAGTCCAACTTTATCCAATCACCTTTTTGTATCCTTGCTGTTCTCATAGGAAAGGCGAGCGACGGAAAGAAGAATGCCTTGAGAGCGTCTAATCTTTGCCATGGGGCGAGGTTCGATTGTAGGATGTTAGCAGCTTCCATCAGCCACGCTGGCTCCTTAAGTCTCTTGTTATCTGGAATCCAACCGGCATTCCCAGGAACTTAT